CCGCCCTCCTCCTGGGGCCGCACGCCCGGCGCCTGACCGCCTCGAGGTCGGGGACGCGCTCAGGGCCCCCAAGAGCGGAGGCCTGAGGCGGAAGGGGGACCCAACTGTGTCACCGAGTCACCCTCTCGAGCCCTTGACCTTCCACAGCCCAAAACTTCCAGCACAAGACCGTGGGTGGGGCTATCTGGGAGCAGGACGTAGTAGGTTAGATGTTCGGGCTGGTGGCAGTATTAACGTGAACAACAATCTTGGTTTTAGTCTGAATGTGGGAGAGTTGATTTAACACGTTTCAGTGTGAATATAGGAAAGTTTATTCAGCATGGCATATGGGAAAGCTGATCTTAAGCTTTCGTGTCTGCACAGCTTGGCGTGCCTTTTTTCATTTTGCTCACTGGCAAGATGTCCCCAGGTGTCCGTGCGGGGCCCTCCGCGCGCTGACACCCAACTGGCAGACGGGTGTAGACACCACACCATGGCGCCATGGACGGGAAAACGCATCGGCCCTCTTCATGCATCCTCTCCCCCTCCTTAGAAATCAGAAAGCCCCCTGGCCTCTTTTGAAAGCACCTTGTTTATCATCTTGTCAGCAGAAGCACAGGCCCCCTTTTTTGTGACTGAGATAAAAATGAAAGGTGATTAGCAGTCTACTAGGAAAAAAGCATGAACAAACCGCCTTACCCCACCCCAGGAAGCGAGGCAAACTCGTCTTGGCTTGCTTCGTACTGAATACTCCATGTATCTTGATAAATATGAGAGGGAAACCGTTTGGGCCGCGTGAAGTTTTGTTACCCCTTAGAATGTTCTGCATAGTTAAATCTCCTTGCTTGGTAAGAAGCAGCTTTCTGCACGCAATTACTACCACTTTGAAGTGGACCAGGTTTAAGAGATTTTAATTATTTCAAAATAGAGGCACCTATTTAAACTCAAAAGGAAAAAATAGTATTTTATGGTGCAGGATTAGGCCACGCTGCACAAAATGGAGCTCTGAATAAAATACCAGATTATCGAGTAGTACATAAATAATTGTAGCTTCCGGTCCTTCCAAGAGTCTGAAGCCCCAAAGAACCTTTTATTTGCTTTGGAAGCGGAGCTCGCTCAGTTTCTCCAGATAGAGCTGCTTAAATCCCTTGACTCTTGGGGAACCTGGGGGCCACGCACCGCCCGGTGAGGGCCTCAGCCCACGCAGCTGCTGCTGATTGTCAGCGCTGCTCCCCGTGATAAGAGCCACGTAAATAACGACTCACTAAAACGTAGGGGTGATTTGCGTTAAGCACTTCAGCATCTGCTGTTACTAATTAAAGGTTTCGCCTACCACAGACTGCAAATGTAAATCCAGCGTTTTAAAACCTACAGAGAGTGGAGGGCCCTGTGTGCTCCTGTGATCTCAGAAACGGAGGGAATAAAGATGATGATGCCGTCGCATTGTAAAAACTGTCCACACTAAAGCGGTCTGCACCCAGGTGGTGGTGGTGTATGTCCCTGAGTGGTGAAATTACAGATGCTTTGAATTTTCTCTCCAGACTTTTTTTGAATTTTTCGATCTTTCGTAATGAATATGTATTGCTTTTAAAAAAAAAAGTGTAGTAAGCAATTCAAATAGGAAAAAAATTTCGCCGAATGAAGTCTAGTATCGGTTCAAGTCGTGGCCCTCACAGGTGAAGCTCTTAGAGGTACTAAAGGCAGGGTTCCAGAGCCGAATGTACTAGAAAGTTTTATTTATTTTTATTCATTTTCCTTTTAGTCTTACCAGTGGGTCCTTCTCATCACCTGTTCTCATATTACACTATCAACAAGATTTTTTTAACGCTATAAATACTCAAATTTAAGTTGATTAGAAGCTGTTTAGTTAATTTGAGTGACTTGGGGCCAGTGGACTAGGGCAGCGTTCTGATTTGTCTGATTGTAAACATTACTCGTGTGCTATGGCACTGATTTTGTCTGGCAGAGAAGGAAGCCTTTGTCAGGAGAGCAAATCAGTTCTTTCTAGAGCAGCTTTATTTCCTGCCCTATGTCCTGTGCCAGGCTCTGCGCAGAAGGGCTGGTTAGTGATGTTGCGCTGCTGCTTTCTTCCTGGATCCCTTTCCGCCTCCTCTCAGTCTCTCCTCACTCCCCGGTACCTGGGTTCTGTCCCTCAAAACTCACTCTTGACTTTTCTCCACAAAACTAGCTGAGAGATTCTGGAGAAACTGGGAACTGGCCTCTGAGGGGAATGTTGCAGCCAGAAGCACGAGGTGCTAGCTAGGGAAGGGTTCAGGTCAGCAGCTGATGCCTCTTATTCAAAACTTACCTTTGCTTCTCAGTAGGCCCTGTTTCCCAAGCTCTGGGGCTCAAGTCATGCAGAGAGCAGTTTGACTGAGGGCTTTTTTTTTTTACTGCCAGACGTGGACACGTTTTCCCTCCAATTCTGCCTCTCCTGTCCCCACTGCTCCATCAGGTTGATTTGATAGGTTCTGTGATCAGGTTCGGTACTACCTGAGAACACTCGGCAGTAACTACCACCTACAGGGCATTGTACAAACATTACTGCTAATGGCAGTCTTGCGATGTAGGTATTATCATCCCCCAGATGAGGATCACATCAACACCTTACTCAGAGTCTCTAGCAAGTGGCTGGACGGGGACTGGGGGCAGATGCTGTCAAACTGTTAAAAAGGGATCAGTAACAGCTTTGGTAGAACTGAGACTCATCCACGATTCTCCCTGTGGGTTCCAAGGACTGAAAGCCATACTTTGTCAGCAGGAAAAAAAAAAGACTACTGGAATGCCAGCCCCATGAGGGCAGAGAGCTTGTCTGTTCACTTACAATTTCCAGCACAGCATCCGCCCTGTAGTTGGGGCTCAACAAGTATCTACGGCGAGAGGACATAGATATCAAACAGATTTAAGCGGATGCATAAACGTGGCAGGAGGTTTTAAAGGAAAAAGAAAATAAATCTTTCTAATAGAAATCTTTTACAAGTGATCGTAGCCCAAGACATCCTGGTTTATATGTATTTTTAGTGTAATTATTAATAGCACCCCCTTTCATTCTCAAATGTCTCTGTTTGGAAAGTAAATTAAATGGGCTCCCCATCTGTAGCAGGAAGGACATTGGTTTTGGACATTCATAGGTTGCTTCAGTTAACCAGGTAAACTAAAAAACAAAAATGCAATTACTTATTTTATGACCATTTCTTAATAACTGTTTCAATGCTCGGCATTTGGTTCACAAGGGGATGTAATGGCATAGAAGAAATCTGTGCTGTGGTGGAGATTCACACTCTTCACTGAAAACCATCACGATGGCTTAGCATCCCACATTGCGCCAAAAGTACCACTAGAAATGAGGAATGTTGATAGAATGAGAAGGAAACACTCTAGACAGTTCCTGATACTCTCTACTGCAGAAATTCCAAATTTCAAAGCTCCTTTGAGAGTGTTACGCTGTCTTCCTAGAACGTAGAAGGAAATGAAGCTAGTGACATGGTTGATAGTAGGCTATGATAGACCATGCTAAGGAGTTTGAATTTTTATTGTTTAAAATAGGGTGGGGCACGTGGGTGGGATTGGCTCATGAAGATGATTGAACACACCTGGCAATGTTCCAGCCAACTCCGTCTCTGCGTCTCTGCGGCAGGAGATACTTAACTATGTGCTGATACCTTCAGCCAGTAAATATCACTGAAAAGAAAGGAGGGGGGTATTCTAAATTAAAAGTCCAAGGAAATATAACAACTAAGTGCGATGCATAGGGATCTTGGTCTGAACGAAACAGCTCTCTTTGAACATTAAAAAAGAAAGAAAGAAACCCACAGGAAAGCTTGAAATTTAGAAAGCAGATGGGATCAAATTGGTACTAAAACAAAAGTAGAAAAACCACAGCTTAAAAGACATGAAGAAGAGAAGACACGCAGAAGTAAAGTAATTCTAGTGATAGTCTAGGCAGAATATTAGCAGAAACAAAGATGAAATGGGCCTGAGGGCACTTCCCTGATAAAGAATTAGCTGTGGGCAGAACACCTGGGCCAGCTGGGGCCCTGGATTTCTTTACCCCCAGACGGTCCCAGCAGACTCCTGCTGCAGCTAGGGCAAAGTGACTCTTAACCCAGGAACCAAACCGGGCATTGCTCTTTCTAAAGAAAATGAACTATCTGTGGGACGTAGGTTCCTGGTGTTGGTGGTTCCCAGACCTCTACAACTGACAAGGATTAAAGGAAAAGCAGCTCTGCCCAGGAGGGAAATAAACCAAAGTGCTTGGTTTTCAGAGGGAAGCCTGCCTTTATTTTGACAAATAGCTGGTCCCAACCTCTCTGCTCTCCAGCCTTTGTTTCCACTGTCCCTCCCACTCACACCAAACCCACAGCCAGTGGTCCCTTTAAAAGAAACAGCTACTGGGGAGACAGACCCGTCCACCTTCAGGGGAAACTGCTTGTACAGGTTGATTCCTATTTGTTTGGATAACCAAGGATCGCCAGACAACTATTCCAGGAACAGATTATTAAGGGGATAGGAAAAACGTTAAAAATTTCTAACGTGTGTCTTCAGAGAAGATATCATATCCTAAAAATAGTGGGTTATGAAGAATTACCAAAAAAGAGGAAATCCGTCAGAATGAAGCACCCATTCATGACGTGTTCTCTACCCAGAGATGAACTGTGTGGTGCTTCTGCTTTTTCTCCTTCTCTTTCAGTCAAAAATAGACCTCTTACTAGTTGGCGATTTCACTGTTCAGCACCTGGCTGACATCGTACGGAAATGCTTTTCAAATACGACAAAAGTCACCATCACCACTAGTGATGTGAAGCAGGCGGCAGCACTTCTGGGTGACTGCACGTTCAACATGGCTTTCCTGAAGGCGGCTTCGCTCACAAACGCCGAGGAGCTGGACGCTGTCAAATTGATTAGGTAAGCTCCAAAAACCTTCATGCTGTATCTTTAGAATAGTTTTTATTAAAACCCACTTCTAAAAAATCCTTCCATATGATGCTGTATTTACTTTAAACTTTAAGATGAGGGATATTTTCAAGGGCAGAATCTCTATACATGTCTTTATTTTTGTAGGCAGTTTGATATACTATTATAGGAATTATCATTTTAACTTAAAAAGCAATAGGTGTGGGTGAGGATGTAAGAATTAATTGGTCCTAGAAATTTATTTGGTATGTAGTGCTTCCCTTAATTCCATGGGTACTCCTTTTTAGTAACTATGTCATTAAAATGGCATATCTTTTCAGACTTCATTAGTTGTTCTAGCAGATGCTAAAGCAGATGGGTCCTCGTAACTCATGATAGCGGTGGACCGAAGATACTGCTTTCAAGAGATGTCCTAATGTGAAAGAGCCACGAGGCTCTCCAGGTCCGCAGAGTCCAGGTTAAAACCACGTCCGTTATCCTTGTTTCATCCGGCAGTTCCGTAGAAGTTCTGCTTCCGTTTGACCCACTCAGCTCTAGGGATCTGGAGTCTAGTGGTGGAAGTGTTAGGTTCCTCCTTGCCTGACTACATAGGATTTTGAGACATTGAGGATGTTTTTAAGCAGGCTTAGATGGAATGAATTTGCTTCCCTTCTATGAGAAAACTTAATGAAGCAAAATTATAGATAATATTGGACTATCTAAGGACTTCTTATAATTATAGGACAGGTCTTTCTAGACTTAAGGACAAAGTTCAGAGGAATCCTGTGATCCCAGAATAGAAAGGAGCAAGCAAATTATGTTTGGGAAAAGAAAGGTTGGACTGGGACGAGGCCAAATCCACTATGTTACTTGTTACAGACAGACAGTCAGACACTGCTCCTGGGGTTTCTTAGAACAGTTGGTCTTGTGCGTTTCTTGTAGCTTTCTCCTGGGAATATGAACTCTGGACCAGACAGACAAGCTACCTCAAAGTGGATTTCACTTCCACAGCATTGTTGTGAACTGTCTTCCTTCTGAAGATGTGCCTATTTTATAAACATACCTTTAAAAAAATCTCCTATAGTTAGAGTACCTCTCCTTGGAGACTTACGGTAATCTCTCATTTATATAGTATTTTAAAAATTTCATAACAGATCTCTGAGGGAGGTAGAGCAGGGCTTCATCATCCCTACCTGTCAGGTTAGAAACCTGAAGCTGAAGTGAGTGACTTGCCTGCGACCACGTGGCTTGTTTTCACAAAACTCGGGACTAGAACTCTTTACTCTTCCTTCCATGTTCTTTCTAAAAGTGTGTGATTATTTGGCTTCTGTATTGAAGCCCCTCTTACACCCCTGAGATTCAAGAGATGCCAGACTTAACTAAACTAAACGTATCGCTGGACAAGCCAGTGGGGCTGATCTCCCTTTATTCCAAGAGCAGGATTCTAGCCGTGCCTCTCCAAATGTGGTAAAGGCTTTGTGTTTGCCCCTGACTGAAGCTACATTTTGAACAGGATAAGATTAAAGTTCTGCTGAAGAGCAAGCTTTGTGTCTAGTCACAATTACTAAGAGCTGGAGGTCAGAGGAGAGAACTTCTGTCTGATACTCACCTCTGTGGATCCTCCCCACAGCTGCTTTCTTTGCTCTGAATAGCACGGCTTAAGATGTGTTAGCAGGGGAGAGAAGGTAGCCAAAGGAACTAAATGTACAGACGTGCATCTGGTTCTATTATTTTGTTCTAAGAGCATTTGTTTGAAGGGGAAAAAAAGGATAATTTGTGGAATACACCTGGATTTGGTTTTCTGGTTTTTTTTTTCTGTCTCATTACACTGTTCCCATATCCAGCATAGCTCTGGAAATAGCAGGTATTCAATAG